GCATCTGATTCTCCATCCTGAGTCTTGTCTTGCTTCTCGTCCTTTGGAAAGTCCTCATGGGTTCGCTGCCTTAGTTGTTTACCGGAAAGCTGTGCAAAGTCGTCAGAAGGGTAGAGCCACCAGATAAAAAGCCCGCCGGTAATTACTGCTACTGGAAACGTAGATTTTTGCTGTGCTTCTTGCTTGGCATCGTTCTTGGATGGAGATGTCCAGAGATGGCGGTGTTGACGATGCGATAATCTTCGTCGGGGGATCCGCTGGTGGGTATTGAGTCTTGTAGTGACTCTATTGAGGCTCTTGAGAGAGCCGCGGTAGTGTCTCATGGTTCTGGGTGCAATTGGGTTTTGTCGAGAATTTTATTGTCATAGTTTGACAGCGCACAGCACATGCTTTCAGTGGCTGCAAGCCCAAACTCAGTGCATTGTCGCAAGACAGATAGAGGAATGATGTGGTAGAACTTTGAAAGAGAGTATAGAATCGAAATGGTAGACTAAACCGCGAGATTAGGTAGATACCTCGGCAGGTATCCGAAGGAGTTGGTGCCTGGATGCTGGGGATTTTATATGACACTACCGTACGTTGTGCAACTTGTTGAGAATAGCTCAAGATGGCTGATGTCATTCCCAAATTCCGTCCTGCAAAAGTGGGATGTGGAGTCTACAAATGCAAAACTAGAGGGCTACTTGAGAGCTGAATATGAGTCTCGACCATTCCAAGGTATTTCTCTATCCCGGGTCGAGGTCACAAGTACGTCGGGGCAGACGGACTCTCCCGCATCATGCCACGGATCAACCAAGAGAATCGAAAACTCCCGATGATTGTATCAAGATTGTGACTTTTGCGGTTCCATTCGGAGGTTTTCTCCCTGTTTGGCATGTGGCATTCACTTACTTTATCTGTGCCACGGATCTTCAGGTCCGCTTTCAACTTGGATGGTCAAAAAGCTTGGTTCCGAGCCAAGGAGACAAGACAAGGCCCAATCAGGTTACAGCTGACGGTCAACTCATGCACTCGTTTTTAAAAGAGCTTAATTATTGTCAAGTTTCATCGTGGTAGGGTGACTCGATTTTGGGTGAAAGTCATCGTCACTCGATCTCTAGGTCATCTGCTCTGCTCTGATACTGTTACAGAACCTGACAACTCAGATCGAAGAATTGCTGCATAGGCTAGGTCTGATTTGAGACTGGGAGACTTGCTCTTAAATAGACAAGTTCATAACACATGTGTCGAATTACGAGTTTGATCTCAAGTTGTCATCGTCATGATACAAGATAAACTCTGGTAGACTTCTCCATCATCTTAATCATCTATCTATCCATTGGAAACAGAACACTCACAGCACTACTTCACTAAAACAATGGAGGGAACGGCAGGAAAGTGGGGTCATCCGCGGTGGGGGAAAATGGGAGAGACACAGAAGTACGGAAACGCCAAAAAAGGCGGGCGGTGAAATCGCAAAGCTAAGGCTAGCGAGAGATGGGCCTTTCGATGGATTTTTTTAAGGTGATTTTTTCCTCGCGCCGGCAGAATCAATCAATCGCATTTTGAACTCTTCATTCAATTGAATCTGTTTTATACAAACAAAAACTCATCAATCGTGTAACCTCGAGTTAATTCTTTCTATCAAGGTAAGCTTCATTGAATAGGCAACAGTCACACCGATGACTCGCTTTTTTTTCAACCCCGCCACCATCTTTTACCTTTTCGCGACCCTTTCTCACCTCGCTTCTAGCTTCTTTCCTCTTTATTCTATCACTCAACACTTCTTAGCCTGCGACCGTGAAACAATCGCGATCGCGCATCGTTCCCAATTATCAAATAACGGTCGAAAGTCACAATGAGCGAAGCTGAAGCCCCCAAGCCTGTCGAGGCTGTCCACTCTGAGGCCGAGGTTCCTACCACCCAGCCCACAGAAGAGAAGGTTGAAGAGAAGACAGAGCAGAAGGCAGAGGAGTCCACAGAAAAGCCTGAAGAGAAGCAGGAGATTCTGAAGACCACAGCCAAACATGATGATGCAAACCCTCGCAACAACCGCAAATTCGACCCTTCCACCCGTGAGGTCACTGATGACCCTGAGGCCATCCGCAAGCAGGTATGTGTAGCTTCACCCATGTCCCATTGTCGCGCGTGTGTGTACTTACTCCCCTAGGTCGAGTTTTACTTTGGCGACTGGAATTTCCCTCAAGACAAATTCATGTGGGAGTCATGCGGCGGAAGCGAAAACAAGCCCATGAAGGTCAAGACTATCCACTCCTTCAAGCGTATGCGAACTTTCCAGCCCTACAGCGCCGTCATCGCTGCTCTCAAGGACAGCAAGTTTCTTGAACTTTCCGGTGAGGAGGGTGAGGAGGTCGTCAAGCGCAAGACCCCCTACCAGCCCATGAACACCTCCAAGTCCAAGGTCGAAGCCGCTACCGTTTACGTCAAGGGCTTCGGCGATGAGGCCCCTAACACCCAATTCGACCTTGAGGGCTTCTTCGCTCAGTTCGGCGAAGTCAAGGGTCTTAAACTCCGACGCACCAACGAGGGTCTCTTCAAGGGCTCCGTGTTCGTCACCTTCGCCGACGAGGATGAGGCGAACAAGTTCATCAAGATTGACCCCAAGCCTAAGTGGAAGGACCACGATCTGAAAATCATGAGCAAACGAGCTTACTGCGACGAAAAGAACGACCTTATCCGACAAGGGAAGATTGAGCCTAACCAGAGCAATCCCCGCAAGTTTTATGAGGGTAGAGAGACAGGCAAGAGTGGACGTGGACGAGGTGGAAAGGATTCTCGTGGCCGTGGTCAGGACGACTGGAAGCAGCGACGCGAGAACGACCAGAAGAATGGTTTCAAGGATCGACGAGGTGGACGCGGCGGCCGAGGAGGTCGTGGTCGAGGCCGTGGCCGTGGTGGACGCGATGGTGGACGTGACCGTGATCAGTCTAAGGATGAAGTCAAGCACAGCAGCAATGAGTGAGCCACCCTGATCATTATACCAAGAGGTATCCGCTAACACACTACACAGCACCACCCCTCGCATCCAGTCTACCGCCGACGAGTCTGCCGATAACAAGAAGCGAAGCCGCGAGGAGGATGCACCCTCCGGCGAGCCTGCTGCCAAGAAGGTCGATGTCAAGGCCGAATAGGTCAAGTTCAAGGCGGAATTAGAATCGCTCATCTAGACCGAGGAGGAAAATGGAACCAAGGAACGAACCAACATCATTTAGGCTGATACCACATATTGAACAAAAAAGGGGGGGTTCAAAAACCATGAAGTTTTGTGAAAGGGAGACGAAGCGGAAACCGCTACAACTGTATTATGGGATCTTTTTACGGAGCAACTAGGTGCTTTGCTATCCTTTCCTATTGTCTACCACGGGTGTATAGATGGCTAGTGGCATTTGACAAAGATTACCAAACAAGTGATACTATTCGCAAGTGACTTTATCTCCATTATCGCGATTCGCGTTTTCATTTTCTCTATATGGACCCCCTCTTTCTCAGAAAACACCCTATTTTACCTCGTGTCGACTCTATACAGAGTAATCCAGCTTCTTATCGCCAAGAACGCCCCAGAACTCTTCGATAAGCTCCTTTTGACCACTTGGTGCTCCTCGCACAGCAAGATATACGCGTGCCTCAAGCTCAGGATCCCAATTGCCCGGGTTTCCATGTACCATGCGCCCACCAGCCTCGTTGAGGATCGCCCATCCAGCGCAAACATCCCACGCCCAGCATCCACCCTCCCAGTACAAGTCAACCTGTCCCGCGGCCACAGCAGCAATGTTCAGCGCAGCAGAGCCCATCGATCGCAACGAGTGAACCATTGATCCGCCGTTTTCGGGAGTCGCTGTGAGCTTTCGGAATGCTTCGACCTTGATGTCGAAGTTGGGTCCGTCACGTTGCGCTCCCCATTCAACAGCGACGAGAGAACTGCCGAGGCCCTCGATGGGTCGCGGTGAGCGTGCGAGAGGGAGACGGCGGGGGTCTTTTCCACGACCGTGTGTGAGGAAGGCGCCGCGGCCCTTGATAGCGGTGTAGAGAGTGTCGAGCCATGGGTTGTAGATGACGCCAATGGCGGGCTGACGATCGATTGCGAGACCGAGAGAGATGCAAGCGCTGGGGAACGAGTGCACGAAGTTGGTTGTTCCATCGATTGGGTCCACAACGAAAGTTGGCTCAGGGCCAAGCCTAACTCCAGGCTTGTATGTCTCTTCGCCCATGAAGGAGATTGAAGGGAATGATGAAGAGAGGCGGGTTGAGACCATCTTTTCAACGCCCTTATCTGCTTCAGTAACAATGTCCACGGCTGCAATTGTGTCAGCTACAAAATATATCATTGACAGAACATATCGTACAGTTGAGCTTGGTGTCGGTGTCCAGCTCAGCAGGATTGGCAGCCAAGATCATGGCTCCGGCCTCGTAGGCCACTGAGACGAGCTCATCATGAACAGCTTGAAGATCGATATCAGTCATAGTGTATAATGTCTCTCCTGTTGTTGACTGAACAAGATACGATGGTGTTATGATGAAGTGGAGGAACAGATTTATGGAGGGGTCTCGATGATTTGGCGGGGCAGCTCAAGCTGACGTCTGTGAGGAGCCGAAAGCCGGGGCTGGCCAGAACAGACCATTGCAATGATACTCAATGAACAGGGGCTCAATGTCACGCTGGGTTCGTGCTGTGCTTCAATTGGACACATGGCATTTCTCGACCATATCTAGGGATAGAAACGCTGTGAATTGAGTGTCAAATCACTATCGACAAGTGTGATATAAGACTTCCGTACACTACCAAAATGAAAGAATCCTCGCAGCACATACACAATGTCATGATATATCAGAATTCCACCCAACCGAGTCCAGGCTCTGCATGAACAACAGGTTCCCAAGCCCCGTAAATAAGAAGGAAAGAAGGAAAGGCAAACAGAGCAAAATTCGCAGACACTCCATAATTGCGCAGCTTTTGTGTCGTCTTCCGCAACATACTCGACTCATTCAGCTCATGTCTCGTCTTACATGTTTTCCCTAAACACGGACCGTCGCTCTGTCGGACTGCTCTCGGCGCTGCCGCTTCTGTTCTTGGGTTTCGCAACTCCCGTGTCAATAGGTCGAGGGCTCACGCCGCGCAAACTTGAACCAGCATCGTCATCGAACGGGTTTCGTCCTCCAGGTCCCGATGCAGGGCTTCTGCTTGCTCTGCGCCCCCGATCTTCCTCTTCGTCGAAACCTCGGCCGCCCGACAATCCCGGCGTCGCCGCGAGGTTCATGTTGTAACCACCGCCGTATCCGGTGTCCCGGCCGCGACCGCCAACGTCCTCCTCATAGTATCCATATTGGTCTGCTTCGTTCCCAACGCGCGAGTCCCACGCTTCATCAGGATCGAGTGGACCGAAGCCACGACGGCCGCGAGCACCGCCGGATTGCTCGTAAGCGCCTGCGGCGGATCGGTTGTTGCGGTTCTTGAATTTGCGAATTTTGTCGTTGAACCAGCCAGCGATGCCGCTAGGGGCGGGCTGTATTCCATAGCCGCTGTCTTCCTTATGCCATGGTAAATACGATGCGAGACTTGGAGGGGGGAGCTATATAGATAGGGTATTAGTTTGAATGACTGGACTGGGACCGAAGGGATTGACATACGCCGAGTCTGCGAGCACGAAGCTGTGTGAATATAACCCAACCAACAGCTCCTGCGACGAGAAGGACGATAATGGCGATCACGATGCCTCCTGCAGTCGACACCATCTTTCTGTAATCTCGCTTCTGTGTGCCCCAAGGGATTTGCGATGCCAATAGTCGCGTGGTGACGAAAGATGAGATAGTGAGACAGATGCTGGTCGGGCGCAAATCGCAACGATTGGGTTGTGGTTGAATAGTAATAATCGCCGTGGGAAGGAAACATACAACGAGGGTTTTTTTTTCGCAGGCGAGATTTGGTGTCCTCTGTTTGACTTTGGCTCGTCTTGGGGATGAAGTGGTGGTGCGCTTCGTCCAAGCTCCTACAGTGCAGTACGAAGATGTCACTGACTGAGGTGGGCTTCAATTGAGATGTAATGGGCGCTGGAGGACTAGACGGGAAAAGCTTAGGGCGGTCCACTTCTGTCAGCATCAACGGACTAGGGTTGCTTACAGTGGGCTTGGCGCTAATGCCGGCTCTGGATTTAGTATCAGTGGCCCACTGTAGTGGAGAAAGGCGTTTAAGTCCCTGCAGAGTCTCAAAGGATATCTACTAATTCCCTGCCCGAGAAGTCTCAACCTAGGCTCAATTGCAACATCTAATGCTTACATTCACATATCCATGTCAACTGGACTTCTTTCCAAGATCAAGCATCGTGGAAATGATTTGACTGCTCTGCCGAGTCACACTTATACCTTCATCCTATCTCATTAAATAACCAGCCTCTTATTTCGTCCCTCGTATTCCGCACCCGAGCAAATCCACTCCCTTGCATCAGAGTCTATTTCAGTTCATTACAACGGCTACCAGCCTCTTCGAATAGCAAAAAAATACAATTTACCGCTCTGCATGTCTAATTCTTCCTGGCGGCTCATCCCTTGATACCACATTTGTTCCAATGCCCTCCCTGCCTCGCAAACGACAAGCTCTCCACAAAATCTTCCAGCTTACACCGTCCATACTCATCTCCTCCACAGGTCTCCATTTCCATAACTCTATCATTTATCAACACCCTCACGTATTCTTCTCCCTTCTCTTCATTTGTAGCACCACACTCGAGCTTCTCTACATACATCCGTGCAGCAAAGGGGACTACCCATGCCGATGAGTAGCCATGTGCTCGGATAGCTGGCACGATGTGGTGTTTCGGCAGCTTGCTTGTCGAGTTGTACAGGCCCATTGCTGAGAAAATAGACACCATAGTGTTGTCGTGGCTAAAGTCTGCATATAGCGCCCTGTCCAGGGGAAATGTATCTGGATTGGCGTCCAACGTGCGATTGGTTGTGGTGTGGTCATCAACAGGCTTCCTCGTCAATCGCGAAACAAGTTCGTTGACGTATCCTACTCCCTGTGTCGGTCCCATTGCGTTGCCATTACCATATTCGTAGTATTTGCCCAGAGTCATGTAGTAATCGTAGCTTCGCCAATCTTCTGTGGAGAACATGTCGCAGAAACGGGATTGTCCCACACCATCGGGAGTGTTGACTGTGTTGAAAGGGCACAGATCCATGAGATAGATCGTTTCCTGTAACGACAGTTTGGCTTTGTGCAGATTCCTGTTCAGTCTATCCCGAAGAGGAGGCAGGAATTTGTTTCCCCAGGCGGTCTGCGCACTGTTATCGCCTATCTCATCGTTGTCCTCGAACGAGCTACATGTTCCATGTGACAGTGTGTTGTTGATACCGGGCTCCTCAGGAATTACAAGAATGCCATCGGTGTAGTCATCTCCAGACTCTCCTCGAGAGGCATAGAACCCTTGTGTGAAGTTGTGAGAGGACATGATAACTCTGTCGGATCCTGATGCCCTGATGAAAGGCTCCGTCTTTTCAGCGAGTCCGATGTATCGCTCATAAAAAGCTTTTCCCGAATAAATCATCTGGTCTTGACCAAAATCGGTCAGATCCTCAGATCCGAGGTTGTATTCGTAGTCCTTGAGCCATTCGTAGCCCTTGCCATAATTGGTTACTGATTTCTGTAGGCGGGCAATGGTGGCGCCGTATGCTGTAGTCTTGCTGGCGGTTGGGTATCGAGCTCCATGACGAGACAGGGCAATTCCTATGGTAACCTCGCAATCATCCGGTGTTGACGAATCAATCTCTGATGGAACAGAGAAGAAGGAAGAATATTGTCCCCATAGCTTGGAAATGTCATTGCAGCTTCCGTCATATTCACATCCCGATGACAGTGTGCTTACAGATGTTAGTTTAGGGTCAAATGCGAGATTTGGATGAGGGTGCTCACTTGTTGTGAACCCAAATAGCGAGAACTGTGATCAATGCAACTGTGCTTATTACCATGACAAGGTAGCTCCATCGTCGGGTCTCTCGACGCTTATGCTCTGTATGCCAGTTCTCAAGTCGCTCTGCGTCCGCATGGCTCTCTTCGGCTGCTTCATCATTTCCAGATAGTAGTCGCCCTCTCTCATCATCGGCATCAGATACATCTAAGCGGTTTGCTTCTAAAGGCGCGTCGTCGCGTGGAATTCGAACCATTTCTACTGATTCGGTTATCTTGACAGGGATGGTGTAGATGTTTTTGGGAGCCAATAACTCCCTGTGAGGGCGATAACGTTAAATCAATAACGACTGATGCGAACAAACACGCAAAGTTTGAGGTATTGAGCGACTGGAAGCTCTTTCTTTGGTAGCCTTGCGCTTTAGTCGCATTTGTTGGCTGGGGATAGTGTTGATTGAGCTGAGCTGAGTATCCCTGAATGTTGGAGGTTCAAAGACACTTCACTTCACTTCAGGTGAGAGTGGGCCACGTGCATGGTCATGAGGCTGACGAATGAGGCACCATTAGCCACATGCCGATGTCTTCAGCAGTTGTTACTGTGATTACGCTCAGTCGTTAACCAGTGAAACGATGATACAAAATTCAGAAGAGGAATAAACACGATAATAAGAGTTGAATAATTAAACCTCTGTCAGCATCATGAGATTGGATCACACCAATACCCAAAGTTAAGTGATGAAGATGACAAATGAAGTGGAAAGTATCGAATGGAACATGCCGCTCTAGGCGGACTATATTGCAACTAGCTGTATCATGCAGACCTCAGGATAACATCTCTGCTCCTATACCTCTATCGTTTAACATGGACATAAATTTTAGAGCAAACCTGCCACCCAGAAACCAGTTCTTTAAGCCAAACCCTGTTCCCAAATACTTTATCCCATTATCATAGCATTCCAAATACCCAACAGGCCTTGCTTGCCACGTAGTCTAGCTACAGGAGCAGCCGTAGTACGAATGGTATCATCAAGTGTATAAGTCATAAAAACGTTGAAGAGAAAACGCGGGGTATAAGCCAGAATATCCAATCATTCCTTCACATTGCAACACCGACACTCCTCCTTTGAGGTCGGATATCATTTCTGCCAAACGTTGAAGTGGCGAACCGTGAGATGAGGGGCTCATCCTGTGACACAGCGGCTGTGCTACCCACAGAGCATGTTGTCGGGACTGTACGATTTTCTGCATCCGATTCCCAAGTGCTGACCGTATCGATTGACTCTGTGCTCTGCCGATGTTCTGACGCTCCGCCCAGCGAAACTTGGTAAAATCCTCGGTTGCCCCTGATAGGACGAGGAGCGTTGGTGACAGAGTCGAAACTCATATTACGGTTGTGCTGTGACCCGGGGAAGAGCCAGCTCGACACCCGGGAAAAAGACTTCTTCTTCCTCAGAGGAGGTCGAAGTACTAAAGGTAGAGGTGGCGGTGGGGGCATATCATCTCGCCTTGGGCGAGAAGGAGGGGTAGAAGGTGACCTTTGCTCACCAGGAGTTCGGGATCTGCGAGGTGGTGTGATGGGAGTTCTCACAAGCGTACGAGGAGGCCTGATGGGTGCTGTGTGTGGCCTTTCAATGATATCGGAGTTGAGTCGCTGGGCAAAAGAGGGAGCAGCTGGGGGCAGAGCCGGAATTGACGGCATGGGCTCCAGGTCTGAAGAAGTCAGCGGGAGCGGTTCGTCACCAGGTCCGTAGATCGAGATCATACCGGGCATGGTTCGGGCGACCGAGTAGGGAGTTGGTGGTCGACTGGGAACATAAAGACTCTGTCTCTCGATGACATCGTCAATCTGCTTCTGGAGCTTTTCAACCTCTAGCATAGCACTCGCGACTCGTTCCTTGACCTTTTCCACATCTGGTGAGCTATACGCACGAGGACGACCCCGTGACTTGGGGGGAATTAAGGGCGGGATCTCATCTTCTCCATGAGAGGAACTGGGAGCACTCCCCAGCGCTTGGCGGCGTGGAAAGTGAAATGACATGGGAGAATCTGAGAAGCTCTTCTGGTACTCCAAAGAAGGTTTTACTTCTTCGGGTTGGCTATCTGACAAATCTGACACACACTCAGAATAGTCTGATGAGGGCGCCGGATTCGCAGGCCTTGGTTCAAAGTGAGCCATGATAGGAGATACACCATTGTCGGGCTGATAGATGCTCAACTCGAGCGGGCGGTAAGGACGATGAGGTAACTGTTTCGCAGGCCGAAGATTCGAGGCTCTCGACGGCGTAGGTTCAGGATAATCAAGAAATGGGTCGGCGGCAGTTGATACATGGCGAAAGTCTGAAGGGGCTGAAATGAGCGGCCGGCGCGAACTTGAAGAGAGTGACCAGAATCTCCTTCTCTTCGACGAGACACTGTCTCTCGTAGACCTCTCCGACATTTTACGATGCTCCAGCATTGCAACAGGCTGGGGATGGTGAATTGGTTGGTCGTATATTACTGGATATGAACGCTTCTCATCGACTTGACCTATCAGCAACTGGTCGTCGCTCAACCTGCCTACGGGCCACGAAATGTTCAAAGTTGAAGACGAATCCGAGGCCCAAGCATTGGCAGAGGTAGAAGTAGACATAGACTTACTACGACGCGGCCTCCTGTCCTCTGAGGAGACCAGCGGTGCGCAGCAGAGAGATAGCCACGATGGCCAGGAAGCTGCTTCAGAGCCATGGGCACCGTGAGAACCGGCGTGTGTCATGCTGCGAAGCTCTCACGTCATACCGAGAAGGCGTTTAGAACGTTGAGTGAGAAGAGATTGGCGGAGAGGAGGACAGTTCGTTACTCAACGAAGTGGAAGAAAAATGGCCGAGAAGCTGAAAGACAGATCAACGTATGGAGATAAGGTGGGATATGAGTGTGTATGGAAGTATGTATGTACAGTACACTCCTTCGTATATGTAAGCCAGCACCAGTACTAGCACCTGCAGAAGAGGAATGGGATAGGACAAGAAGTGAAGCAAGACGGGAAAGCTGCAGGAAGAGGACCAGGGACCCGGCAGATAAAAGAACAAGAGGAGCAAAGCAGCGGCAAGCAACTTGTAATGCAGCCCAGCCCATCTCGTGGATGACGGCCGGGCCGCGACGTTCCCATGGTAGTATATCCACACCCATAGAGGCAACAAAGGACAGTATTGGCACCCATGATGCCTCTGCTACAAGTCTGTAGTGGGATCTGGGTTAGTTTCAGGCCCCGTTACGATCGAAATTTAAAAAATTAAATAAGAAGAAAAATGGGCGGCAGCCAAGGGAGATGCAAGACGACGTATCGAGTGGTTGACGATTGTCCAAGACGAACCCACGGTGCAGGTGATGGACCGGGGTCGGTTGTCTCGCCGGACCAGTCGGCGCTTAGAAGACGGTCCTGACGGACTCCCGATCATGTTAGCGCTCCACACCAACTCTATCAAAACACCACAGAGACACATTGACTGGGCCACACGTAGTGCCCGAGATGGTGTCGCTGTTGCCCTTGGCTTAAGTCTAGAGAGTCGAGTCAAGTCGATGTCGTGCATTTGGTTCCACTCTATTCCACTTCCAACTCGCCCTCTGGGTGGTCGTGGATCCTTCCATTGACTTTTTGGTCTGCTTGTCCTTGCCACAAAAGACCCCAGACAAGGTCTCGTGCTGCTCCCGTATTGGATAGCCGCGTGAGATGACGGGGTTTGAGGCCTTTGCCTGTGTCCGAGGCTGTGTGTCGTCACGCTGCGCATTTCTCACATTCTCTTGTCGAACTGGTGTGAACTTGGGTCTTGGCGAAGGCGTCGTCAAAACATGAGTTCCATCCATACCCAAGCTGTCATTTGGTCTGGCCTGACATGTAACCTTGAACAAGAGACGTTCTTCGTCAGACGTTGTACAGAGCGCATGTTCAAACAACAAGGTCATAGCTTTTAGCCCTGCTCTCTACGGTAAACACACAACAGAAGCTTGCCTCGCTTGCTGGCTCCTAGCGCAAATCTTAGCCTTGTCGGCTCTGTTTGCCTTCCTTGAATCGACATCTGACGTTGCATCCATACATCTTATTTGGGGTTGCACCGCCGGTTTGGGCAATACCCTGGTCCCCCCGGGCTGATTGGTAGATGCACCCTGGAACCTGGTCTCTTCATCATCTCTTCTCCATCAAATCGGTATGCTGCACGTTTTGTCTTCCACCTTGCGACTGACGACCGCGTTTGTCTGTGAGTTGTGAAAAGCCAGGGTCTCTTGAAACGTGGGAGCTTCAGGAACGCCTGTCAATCTGCCCTCTCATCGAATCCGGATGCTCCTTTGGGCCAGGTTTGTTATTACTTGGCCAAAGAATTGGTGGCTACATCCTAAAACAGCCATGAGAGATGTTTCATGGCACCTAGAATAGTGATGAGCACGAGGCCATTGTGATGACCCGTATTCTGGCGTGAGCTGACACGATACGATTCGCCTGCCTTGAAATCTTGAGACAAAATGACTAAACGATGATAGTCCCGAAATTTTAATATTTGGCGCTGGTAGACCAGAACGGCTGAAATGCATTGCTTGGCCCTTCAGCGGTATCTGACGGTAAGCGGCCATACTACGTTGATAGCAATGTCGTATTGCAATTGCCTCTTCGTCTCTCAGCCGTAGATTCAATGCACAGCCCGGCTTTTGTCTCAGTGAGAGTCACTAAAACCACTAAACATTAACAAACAAGGTGGGATGGCTAGATGGCTAGGATGGCTTCATTTGTGGAGTCAAGAGGAAGTGTGCCAGAAAAGTCTTGTTAGGGCACCTCGGCTCAGAGACACAAAGGGTCAGACCGTGTAGTTGGGTCGGTGTCAAGCCTGATCGACAGCCGGACCGCTCCCTGTTGCTGCTGCAAACATCCATGGTTGTTTGCTTTTGGACCCTGCGAGCAAAATTCCGTTGCCCTTCCTTCCGCTGCCTTGTCTTCAGACGAGAGTGATTATTGAGGGTGGTGCCCCTGACTTGCCATTCCTTTGGTTCTTAAAATAGCGACTCTTAAGTTGAAGCATGCAACCTTGGCTTGGCTAGGTAGCTTTTGGCAGGGATGCATCCAGAGTCCCTTCGGTTGTAATCCAGTGATGAAAAGATTTAGGCAAGTCTAGCGTAAGCTAGAGGAGGGCCTTTACATTGGCTATTTTTGTCACTAACGATAAAGGCCCTGAGTTTTCTTGCTTGTCCTTTGGGGTTTTTTAACATAATGGAGACAAAGCCCGTTCACATGCGATGGTGTGTTCTCCATCAAGCACAAAATAGCAGATGATGGATGTTCAAGTGGCGATCTTCAGTCATTCTGACTGGTTTTTTTTTTGTTGGGTTTTTTTTAGATCATCCCGCACAAGGCGCAATAATCAGGTCGGAGGGCAACCTGTCTCAGTCTTGACTTCGGGAATGGCTGTAGAAAAGACGGAGGATCCTCTCAAGTCTCTTTTCCTTGTTTCTTGCGCAGTTGGCTCCTTCCACTCTACAGCGGCGGATGCAACGGGAGTGGCGTATTTGGCTTCACGATGTGGGATCGATGCGGCCTCGTCGTTTTGTGAGTGGAGTTGTTTGACTTGTTTGACTCATTCTGTGTGGGAAGAGTAACAGTCGATGAGAGGCTCATGGCGATGACTATCTTCAGCCAAGGTTGATTGCAAGGCAATGTTGTATTATGCAATGTAACCAAGTCATGGCTTCACTTATCCACCACTCCACGGAAATGCTGAAAGCATTAGAAGAGCGAATGCAAGATGCTGAGAGCAGCATGCAAACCTCCTCTTGCTTCAGGGAACCATCTAGTATCCCTCGCAATGCCTCTGCCGTCCCAACGTACAAACAAAGTTCTTTTGTGCCATGGTGTGTACCTTGAGCTTTTGAACGGCCCTCAAAGTACAACAGCCACAAGACAAAGAAACATATTTAGTGGCCAAACAGCACCACAGATGATGACGAATAGGTGCTTTCAATTGAAATATTGTTGTTCCACGTCTAGATTCGTGAGGTTCCATGTTGTTGGACCCAAGACTAGAAGAATCGGCAGATACCTAAACTTCAACAACGGCGGGTAATAGATCTACCGACCGTACTCCACACTTCTGGTCCCTGATTCCGAATCTGGCAGGCGGGATAGCGGTCACGCGTGGCAAAACGCCAAAAAGTCAAGTAAATTCATGGATTAGAGATCTAGATTGCGACAAGCTCCGTGGTGGTCAAAATGGGCAAACGAGACTTCAACAGCGGAGATGGCGCTGACGCTTTTCGCAAACGCCAGAAAGTCGTTCACGAGACTCCAACGAGCGAAGAAGTCACCTCGAGCGATCAATTGCGCAATTTGCTGTCCTTCGACCAGGATTTGCGCAACGCCAGGCATGGTAAGTGACGATGCTATTAAAGGCACCAACGAACTAGATCTGATACATACCCCTATAGGCCTTCAGTCTTTCAAGAATCTCCTCGATCAAATAGTTCACGAAGAGGGTGACCGAAGAGCAAACCTCGACATTCTACATCAATACCTTGAAGCCGTCAAGCCCAGAGATGCATCCGAAGATGCAGTCTTTCTCAACGATATCATGGAAATGTGGTCTTTCGCCGTGCAGGTTAATAACGATGGTGTCATATCTTCTGTTGCCGTTGTTCTGGCTTTGCTACTCCAGATCCTCTCAGGCTCACTACAGCTTGTCAAGCATGGCCTCGGTATCTGCCAGACCCTTCTCCAAGAGCAGCAACTGAAATCATTGGCAAAGAATCTCTCGGCAGAGAAGAGCAAGGGTTTTATCATCTCACCTACTCTCCGTCTCCTTCGAGAAGCTACATGCCTAGATGGAGGCGCCTATGCGAAGCGAATCTTCCGCGCTCGAAATTTCACATTGACATCGTTTGGACGAAATCTTGAAATTGGGCATATTGGAGATACGCAGGAAGATGTGCGCAAGGCTTCTGTCAGAACAAATGCTGTCCGTTTTTTTCTGAGCCTTCTCAAGTTCCTAGGTTCAGATGGACGTAAAGAACTTGTATCGCAAAAGGAACTTTTGTCACATGTGACTTATATGATCAAAAGCGACCCTGCCTACCTCGTTGTGGATATTCTCGACTCTCTAAAGCTCTATGTCCTCAAAGATGACAAGATCCCTAGGGAAGTCAAATTCCGATGCTTCAACACCAAGTCGTTGGTGCGCTTCTTGGCTCTATACACATACACCAGCGATGGCGAAGATGTTGATGAGAAGTCAACGGTGAGCCATAAGGCCCACCAACTCCTCATCTACATCTGCACGACGCCTACAGCTGGTATTCTATATCCTTCCACTGGTCTATACCCCAAAGAGTCTGAAGACGACCCAGCGCCGAGTGGGCGTGCGAAGGCTGGTACACAGGGTGCTCTCTTCGCCGAAAGATACAAACAAGACATTCCTGTGTATAACTTTGTCCTTGCCGAATTCGCTCAAAAATTGCGTCCTTGGTCCAGTTTGAAACATAGCGAGCTTTTGGTAGCAATCTTCACCTCTGCCCCTGAACTTACTGCAAAATATTTTCTTAGCAACCGATCTTTCACGTTCGAACCAAAGTTATCCATGACATGGATTGGATATGCCGCCTTTCTTTTCAACACTATGCAACTTCCTCTCCCTCCTCGCTTCGGAGACCGATCGCGATCTGCCAAAGCACCTCCTCCCACGTCCATCCTTCTCGACAACATTATTCCGCTCCCCATTAATCAAAAAGTTCTGATCCGGT